TTGGCCTGCCCATCATTTCTATACATAACCCTAAGCATGATGGGCTGTTAATTGCTTAATTAACTCAGGAACCACAGTGGTGTGGAAGCACCTGCTTTCAATATACTTTGTATCCCTAATTTACTCAAGTGTTTCCATTATTTTGTCAGTTACCTGTATGTGTGTGGGGGTCAGAATGAGCCGTAATCCTATTTTTGCTATCCAGGATCAGATCAATCTGTCTGTTTTTGAGACAGTTTTCCAGAAAACAATAGGATCATTCTGATCCAGATACCACAATTTCACCAAATCCAGTTTTTCAGTGCTTTGAACAGGCCTCCACCTTACCATCTACTGGACAGGTTGTTGTACTACTTCTACACTGCCATAGGGAAACCGAAAGGAGTAAACTACAAAAATATAAAAGCAACATGTAAAGTGTTGGTCCCATGTTTCATGAGCTGAAAAAAAAAATCCCTGAAATTTTCCATACCCTTATTTCTCTCACATTTTGTGCACACATTTATTTACATCCCTGTTAGTGAGCATTTATCCTTTGCCAAGATAATCCATTCACCTGACAGGTGTGGCATATCAAGAAGCTGATTAAACAGCATGATCATTACATAGGTGCACCTTGTGCTGAGGGGGGCCAGTATGAAAAATGTATGCACTCACTAATTGTAAGTCGCTCTGGATAAGCGCGTCTGCTAAATGACTAAAACTGTAAATGTAAAATGTGCAGTTTTGTCACACAACACAATGCCACAGATGTCTCAAGTTGAGGGAGCGTTCAATTGGCATGCTGACTGCAGGAATGTCCACCAGAGCTGTTGCTATAGAATTGAACATTCATTTCTCTAGCATAAGCTGCCTCCAATGTTGTTTTAGAGAATTTGACAGTATGTCCAACCGGCCTCACAACCGCTGACCACGTGTAACCACGCCAGCCCAGGACCTCCATAGCCCTCCAAGGCCGCACCCCTGCCCAGTCATGTGAAATCAATAGATTAAGGCCTAATTAATTTATTTCAATTGACTGATTTCCTTATATGAACTGTAACTCAGTAAAATCATTGAAATTGTTGCATTTATACAGTGTTATTTTTCAGTACACATTAAAATAATAGAGCCTGCATATCACTTATAATTAGATGCATTTATTTGAGACTTCTCAATATAACAATTTACCACATACCTATACTGCAGTCAATTTAACATAATACACCTTTGGTTTTCAGATGTAAGAAAAACATTTAAACCTCCTCACCTTAGTTACATTGACATTTCTCGGTTGTAGTGACTTTCACCTTTCTAAATCCACCCTGAATCCAACCTTCTAGTGGGATCAAGATAATCCAGATTTTTGGGATCAAAACTCTCCTAATCACTACCTTCAAGTTTTGAAAAAAACGCAAAATTACCTACATTAAAAGGTCAGATTGGATTACCACATCCTTATCCAGAGGATCAGAATACAATTTTTCAGTTTTGGAAAAAACAACATTCTAACATTTAATCCTATCCGATAAGGGTAATCAGATCAGATAACTTTAGAAAAACCGGCTCCTGAAGACCTTTCTGGAACATAAAAGGAACAAAAACAGTAAAGTTAACAAAAATAGTGTTTTCAGAATGGTCAACAGTAATGAAGAGATTAAGACAAAGTGATTGTTGCTAAATATACAGTTTATTAAGGCTTGATTTTTTTCTAAAGGAAAAAAATAAAATTAACCAAGATAGAGCTTTCAAAACCTTGCAGGTTATCCCCACTGATATAGCTAAATTGGTTTACTTGCAAGTCTATACGATAATTTTGTTATTTTTTAAAAATGTATTCCTTTAGTGTAGTAGATATATCCTTTATTTTAGAACCATACACATGGCCCTCTATTGCAGCAAACTCGACGCGTGCATGTAAGTCCTGAACTATCGGCAACACATCCATTTCATGCTTCTTGACCAAAAGAAAGACAACACCAATGTCTATAATCTAAAGTAGCTTCCTCTACTGGTCTCCTTTCCTTCATCTATACTGGTGTGAAAGACGACTGGTGAAAGAAAACACCACAGAAAGCATCCACCCACATGGCTTTAACCCTGTGTTTTCACATTACTGCAGATGAAGGAAGCCACTTTAGACTATTGAGATGCACCCCTGTATGAGGTCATGTCTCCAGACATCCAGGGGCTACACTACACTGGCCAGGGTGAAGGAGCAGCTATGCAACAGAGTACAGACAAAACCAACATCTGAGATTGGGCTGTGGTGACAAACATCCAGCAAGTCTGGAACTGATCCACGCACATTGCAAGTAACAACGCTGTTGCAACTCTATGAACATAAGAAACGCGGGTTCACACTCAAGTACAGCAGTGGAGGCTGGTGGAAGGAGCTATAGGAGGACGGGCTCATTGTAATGGCTGGAATGGAATAAACTGAACAGTTTCAAACATAGAAACCACGTTCGACTCCATTCCAGTTATTTAATTCCAGCCATTACAATGAGCCCATCCTCCTATAGCTCCTCCACTGATGTGCAGTGACAGCATTCACATCCATGTCTCTCTCTCGCTCACACACACTGTGATGTCACAGAATGCCAGGTTTAATGCTCAGGTCAGAATAAATCTACAATACAAGAAACTGGATTGAACTGCACTCAGAACAGTTTATATCCTGTCTCTCTGTGCAGAATGGGAATCCAGCATGTCTGAGATAAGAGAACAAAGGAAACACTGCTGCACGGTCAGTAAAGGAACTGTACTAGAAAGAAATCAATCATTGTGCCAACCATTACTCAAAAGAGTTGTATAGTGTTTACCAGAATGTAATCAAGTTTACCAGACTGTGATTGTAGCCTGCATGATTGCGCAATGTAGGCTATTAATTAGAGGGATAATTGTTTATCTTTCAATGTTCAACCCCCAATCAATCTCTATGGATAGATACTTCCTGATACCACTGACTTATCTTCATATATATTAATCAATGACACCATTCCAAAACATATACAAAATATTTTTAGCAACAAAAAAGACAGAAACCATTTTTAGTTCTTATTCTTTTCTTACTCTTGATAGTAAATCAGTTACATTCATTTCAGGTTATCTCCATGACTACAGACTCCTAAGTTAAATCTTAGCATTACCAAGGACATGATAGATTTATAGCAAAACAAATTTTGAGAAGGGAAAAAGTCAAACAAAACAAAGGATTAAGACAGAATGATGTTGAACAGATAATTAACCGAAGTGATTTTTCCAAAAAGAGCAACAAACAATTAATTCACATGTAGCAGTTACAGCACATCATTCTAATTATAAAATAATTAATAAAAAATGGTGAATGCTACATTTCTCTCAGACTGGCTTGAGTACGTGAACAGAATCTCCCGATAATGACACAAAACTTCTTCAAGACGAATGTCATTTATCAAAAAAAAAGTGGAGGGGTGTTAGGGATGTAAAATAGTATCATTTTCAATTCAGATGGTGAGAGCGCCATCATCATGGAGGACACCCATCAGTTACTTCCTTCCCAGAGGCCTTTGCACACATCCTCCTTTGAAATGTCCTGAGTCTGACTTCAGACTATCCCTGATTTCTTCAGCACTGTCTGTTAAAGATTATTTTGACAAGTCATCAATAACTAGAAAACGAAATATTAAGGCTCCAGAAAAATCATCTTTCTGAACTGAAAATTGTCAGTAGTAAGCCATAAAATATAGACTTTGTTGATCGTGAATGAAAAATAGATAAACCGCTGAAGTCTCATTATCGCACACAGTTCTAAGTCCAAACATGTTTTGCCTTTGGGATCCTCCAACCCTGTTGGGACAGTTAAACCTCTGAAGGATGGCAACACCGCCCCCCAATGGACAAACAGGGGCAGGACATGGCAGTTCCTGATTGTACAGAAATATAAAGTGGCAGATATTCTCTCTTCTCCTTGGTGCTGTCAAACCCTGATTCAATGCGAGTAAGAGTAGGAAGGGAGGGGGCAGGAGAGGTCAAAAACAAACCCAGTCTGAGGAGAAAGAGTACATGGAGAGAACGTAAAAAACCAAGTCAATCAGAACTAAAACAATGTGATGGTGGTGGCTAGGTAATACATTAACTCAGCTTGTTATCCCTGCACAAGTCTCCACAGTGGTGGCAGAAATTCACCAGGATTAAATAGAAAAAAAGACTTATTTTTTTTAAATATAATTTCTGAATTCTTCTGTCTCTTAAATCGAAAGTCCTAGTGTAAATATTGATCAAGCCAAGGATAAATGTCTTCTACTGTTGTTTACTCCTGTTTTGGCGCTCCTGTGGGGAGACAAGAGAAGGACATGAATAACACAATCGAAACATCACAGTGACCAAAATCTTCCTCCCATCCCTCGTCATCACAACAGTAATGTCAGATTCCAGTTGAGAGACAGAGAAACTGGACATGTACCTGATCCAGCCGAGACCGGTTCTGGATGGGTGCAGGCGGCTCAAAGGTCTGACAGCGGGAGTAGAGGGAGAGAAGAAGAGGAGTCAGTTAAGCACACACACAGGCGCAGCGTCGCATACACATGAAGACATTCAGGCCTAGAGAGAGCAACGTCTTATGAACATCTATTGAAGAGGGCTATGAAATGATAGGCTCCATATCAGGGCTCTCCAACCCTGTTCCTAGAGAGCTACCGTCCTGTAGGTTTTCCCTCCAACCCTAATCTAGCGCACCTGATGCTATTAGCTGGTTGATAAACTTAAAATCAGGCTAGTTACAACTGGGTTTGGAGTGAGAAGCTACAGGACGGTAGCGCTCCAGGAACAGGGTTGAGATTCCTGTTCTATGTACTGATGACATACCATCTTCATATTCACCAAGATGATAACTAACGACAAAACAATGTAAATCAAATGTTTTTTTTACCAACAACAAAGGATTGTATTTGAAACCACAAGCACTCTCTGGGAAGCAGGTTGTTTAGGATCCATAAAACCTAGGAGTGGATGGACTGGATTTAGCAAGACCAGTGTATCTAACCCACCTTGCGTACCTCCTCCTCTTCCTCCTGCCTCTTCTCATAGTGGGAGAAGTCGTCGAAGATGGAGGTGGTGTGCTTGAAGCCCACTATGATCTTCATCACCTGCTTGGCCTTCTCCAGAGGGACCTCCTGAGTGTCCCGGGAGTTGGTCACAGGCTTGTTGTCGTTGTTCTCCAAGCGGATGTGGCGCAGCTGGCTGTTGGGCACGTCCTTTACAAACAGCCAGTCCACGTCAAACTTGCCCTTCCACTTGTCCTGCGCCCACACGCCGGCGCTGGTGCCGTAGTCCACGGATGAGCGCATCTCGGCCACGCCGCAGAAGTGGCCGCTGCCGTTGACGCTGAATAGCAGGTAGACGGGTCCTTTGCCGTTGAGGCTGCGGAAGGCCCCATCCAGGCGCTTGTTGCCGTGCTCGGTGCTGCACCAGATGGAGTACTTGATGGAGCGGTGGATGTCGTCCTCAGAGTAGCTCTTGATGATGAACACGCGGCCGTTCTTCAGGTTCCACTCAAACTCCTTGGGGTTGTAGCTGTGGGCAGCACACAGCTTCTCCAACACCGGGTGGTTCTCCGCTCCACAAGGGACCATAACAGCAGAACCGGGGGGACCGCCGTTACCCCCGCCGACTATGCCAATCATGCTGCTACCGTCCATGCCGGCCCCTCCCTGCCCGTATCCAAGGTTACGGTTGCGCGGGGCGACCCAGCGAGTCTGGGGAGGTGGGGGTTGGGTCTGGTTCTGGTAGGGTTGAGGAGGGTGCTGGTGGTGATGGTGGTGGGGGGGCTGGTGCTGTAAGGCCATGGGCTGCATCTGCTGCTGCATTGGGTTCTGGGGCTGCATGTGGTGGCCATGGGGCATGCTCATAGCCTGCTGCTGCTGCATGGGGGCTTGGGCCACTTTATTCACAGGCCCCTTGTTGTCCCAAGTGCCAATGTCCATGTTGTGTTTGATGGGCGGAGGGGGCAGGGCTCCCCCAGGGCTGGGCATGCCTGGTTTCACCTTGGTCTTCAGCTGCTGGGGCTTGGCCGGCTTACTAGCTATGGCCGCCCAGGAGGCGGGCTTGGGCGGGGGCATACTGATGGGCGTACCCCCGTTCCCCTGTGCCACCACCGGCGGTCCGCCAATCACGGAGCCCACAGTCTTGACCACTGACCCCTGGCCTGTGAGGTCACCACCAATCTTCAGGCCCACCATGCCCTGCTCCAGGCTGTTCATGCCAGGGGCCTTGTTGAGGGTGTCGCTATGGAAGCCTGTCTGGCCTTCAGGCACCAGTGTGCCCCCCAGGGAGCTGGGAGGGTAGCTATAGCTGCCACCGTAGGCTGAGCTCTGAGTCTGCTGGCCCTGGGTGCCACTGGTGCCCCAGGCGGAGAAGGTCGGGTTCTCAGGAAAAAAGTTAAAACGGTGGGGGTAGATGCTGCTGCCAAGCCCTCCAGGCTGGCCAAACACGGTGTCGGGCATGAAGTGGTGGTCTCCATTGCTCAAGGGTCCGTAGGGGGTGAGGTAAGGGATTGGGGGGTCTCCACCGGTGGACCAGGGGGCCTCACTGAGGGGGTAGGGGAAGCCGATGGAGGGGGCGTAGTAGTTGGACAGGTAGGGGTCGGTCATGGACTGGTAGCTGCTGTTCTGTGGAGGTAGAACACGGACATCAATGATCTACACCCGTTATGTAAAGAGTTGTTTCATTTATCTTTTGGCGTTTGCGTCACATTATGCAACACTAATAAACAGTTGATCACAAAACACTCAGCTAGTAAATGGGAAGAATATGGGCCCACAAGGCCAAAACTGTGGGGTTAAAATAATGGCCCTGATGAGAAAGTAATACCAAACATCTCTGGTTTATATTTCATTTTGCAAAGGCAGATTTGTTCTGTGAGAGGAGCAAAATGAAACGGTTAATATGTACCCTCACTGGAAACGTTCAATCGCCCTTCAACTGAGACAAGGTCATGAGACCTTTCTGGCATCCATTTTAAATGGAAAAATCTAATTGAGAATAGAGGGTAGACATTTAGGCCACATTTAGCAACTAAAAATAAAAAAAGTCAAACGCTATCATCATCTGCATATCAACTGTCTTGCCCTCTACTAAGTGAATAGCTTGGTTACAATCCTTATAGATTCATGTGAGGAAATAATGTCAGTGTCATTTGGGCATAGAGAAATTCTATCTTTCTAAGGCATTCAAGACACTTCAATCTTAAAATGCAATAACTGACCCTGAGTTTTCTTCTACTGGAAACATCCACCTAGAATTTTGCTTCACTGAAAACCAATAAATGTAGGCCCAGGCCTAGCCCAGGCGTATTCAAATCTTACCCTACGAGGTCCTGAGTACAGCTGATAATAATTGCACCCACCTGGTGTCCCAGGTCTGAATCAGTCCCTAATTAGAGGGAAGAATGGTGGGGGAAAAGCAGTGGAACTGGTTTTGAGTCCCAGATTTGAATTTGAGGGACCTAGCCTATGTTGGGAAAATCTGAAACCTTGATATAAAGATCTTTAATAAAAGACCAACCTATCACTTAAAATCAGTTTGATACAAATGGAGAGTAACTCTCATCCAACTGCAGCTTCAACACAACAACTGCCACCCCCTGCCATGTAAATTCATTAAAGACTGTGCAGATATTGAATAATAAGAAAATTTTAACATTATCCCATGAAAGACTGGTCAGCATTATCACCTGCGGCCAGTCACGCACCTGGGTTGATTGGCCAGTGAGGTACGGCTCAAAGTCATTGTCGTGGACAGTCTCCTTCTGATGCAGCGAACCATTTTGCACTGAAAACAACAACACAGGAGTTAGGATTTTTGGCAAAAAGTAAAATCAGGAATGATTTATTTCTCAACAATAACAGGTGAGTGGCAATGCACTGTCAGTTCAGTGAAGGGCATTTGGAAGTGTGCTTAACTCTGCCTTCCTTAACTCTGACACTCAGCACACGCGTGTGGTGTCATCCTCCACAAATAACCTGCGTGCATCATCGTGATATGACTGACTGACAGCCACCTGGCGCTTGCTGGGAGACCGGTCGTATCCTGGAAGTGAATCAGGCTGTGACCTACACCCCCCCGGCAGTGTCAGTATGAGTCAAGGCCTGTGCTGTGTGTCCCTCTGCCTGCCTGCCAGCCTCCCTCCCTAACACAAAATTAAAGGCTAGTCACAACAACATAATCATCAACACCAATCAACGTCACAGCCTACCAGCAGCGAATAATCAGCGAGTCACTAAAGTGTGTGTAGGGAATTTGAGGTTGTTTTCAATAAATAATAGCAGCTGTGCTGTCTAAGTTTGTATGTCAAAGTCAACTCATCCAGAAAGTATGGCAAAATGTTAGCTAATAAATCAGCTGGCATTGTGAACAACAACTCAGACCATTAGTTGGCCTCTATGCAAAACAAATGTAGATTAGGTTGTTGACTATTCTTTGTTTAGCTAACTGACATGCAAAAAGGTACCAGGCTAGCTAAACTCTTTCTACAGCTAGGCCTGCACTATCTAGATCAGATACGTGTCCTGTAACCTTGTGCAGGTGACTAGAGACCACCAGTGCAGATGAAAATGTACCCTAAGTAGCAAGCTATACTCTTCAAAAAAAAAGTTCAAAAGGGTTCTTGGGCAGTCCTTGTGGGCGAACCCTTTTGGGTTCCAGAGGGGTATCCTATGAAGCAAGCTAGATCTACTCAGCGTTTTCTAAAGCTAACCATCTTCAGTTAGCTTCACATTCCAGCTATGGCTTCATCCGTACTGACAGTGGATATTGCTCGTCCGCCTGCCGCTAACTCTAGCAGGCTTGTAACTGCGCGTGCATATCACACATAGCTAGTTGAACGCCAAACTCTTCATTGAGACAATGCTGAAACATCAATCAGGCTTTTAGAAGTGCAGTCTTTATTTTATTAATTATCGTTAATGCCGACTTCGGTGTGCTTATCAATGCACAACCACATGCACCTTTTTCCCCACTCCGTTCGATAGAATAATTATATTAAGTCATACAAAAATGTTACGGTGCATGAAGTTTCAAATGCATTCTGTCATTACTAAATGTGTAATGTCATAAAGTAGTAATGTAAAATATAACACAAAAAAACATTTGATTATTAAAATATTTAATCAGTCGTCCTTTGCAAGATGGAGAGAATCTGATTAAATTGGTCCTCAACTCATGGCTCTGTCATTTCATTCAGGGTAAATGGTGTTAGCCTTGAGTTAGCCTGCCTCGGAGCAGGTTAGATCTGAAGGATTCATTGCCATAGAAATGTACCTGGCTAAAAAGGTGAGCCACTTTTGCTAAGAGCCACGTATTGCTTGTGGTCCGGTTTTGGAAACATAAGGAACACATCTTTCATATCAGCGAGAAATGATCAAAAAGGTTAAATTACTGCACACATTTATAGAGTTGGGGTTCCCACTCAGCCATATTTCCATGTTAGTGCTTGTTTACAGAAAACAGATGGAAGACAGTTGACAACCTGTTCTAATGAGCTATTACAGGTGTTCCTCTCCGAACACCTGTGCATAAAGAGAAGACGGATGTCACAAACGTGTTGTCGCTGAAAAACAGTGCTGAGCGATTCACCGAAATGTTGGTTATTTTGGGGGTTTTAAACAACTCATTTACCAATGTAGGTTCAATTAATTGAATTCAATTTCGTTCGGTTCTTTTCTGTGAGCTCAATGCACAGTTTCTCTAGAGATAAATCAGATCAAGCCCATTGTGAAATGTAATAGGGAGTTGTAGTTTCCAACAGGCCAATATTCTATATAGTTTAGCGCAGAAAACATGGTAATTAAGTACAATGACCATAATCCATTGCGTGCCTACTTATCCGGTCTGTGTGGGGCTGACACGGAGAGAAGAGACAGAAGATGCGCAATCAAGAGGGTATCTCTACCTGAAAAGACATGATCTAAGTGATTTATAGTTGGTATTCAGCAGTCAAAAGTATGCCTTATTTACTTTGAACTACTAAAATAGTGATTTTGTCAGACAGCATAGGCAGCAGCTCTATAGAGATGAGATTAATTGGAATTAAATAATAGTCATCAAATAAAACTAATGTAATATACACAACTGAAATATTTTATTAAAGTAAAGTGAATAAATTATGGTTAAGTAAGGGATAAACGCCAACGTTCTGTACATTACCTTGGAAATAATGGACGATGCAGTGGGACGAGGTGGAGCAGAGTCCCTTTGTAGAGTCCATTTTTCCAAGGTAATGTACAGAACGGAAGCGCTTATCCAGCTTATACCACAGTTGCCAAAGAAAACAATATGAAAGCACATAAAAAATGGTATAAATACTTATTTTTCGTTGATATTTTCATTTATATAAGCAAATTCACACTCTCATCTTTTGGTTGCTAGAGACACAATCCTTCGTTTGATTAGTTTGATATATACGCACCCCAGTCGTCAGTTCTTTATGTTCCGTTGCCATGCTCAGTGGCAACATTCTTATCCCTTGCTTGCTGCTAGCTAGCCAACTAGCTACACAGTCACAAATGAAATCTTATTGGTCGCATACACACATTTAGCAGATGTTATTGCGGCTGTAGCTAAATGCTTGTGTTCCTAGCTCCAACAGTGCAGTAATATCTAACAATACACACAAATATAAAGGTAAAAGAATGGAATTAAGAACTATTAAGACGAGCAATGTCGAGTCCGGAGTGTGTGTGTGATATATCCGATGGGATGTATTGACATTATGGACAGTATGTGGATAGAATATGTAGTATATCTGAAGAATACGTAGGATAGAATTGTATATACAGTATTAGTTGAATAGGATAGCCTTGACTAGAATAAAGTATATTCATATGAAATGGGTAAAACAGTATGTAAACATTATTAAAAAGTGACCAGTGTTCCATGTCTATGTACATAGGGCAGCAGCCTCTAAGGTGCAGGGTTGAGTAACCGGATGGTAGCCGGCTAGTGACAGTGACTAAGTTCAGGGCAGGGTACTGGGTGGAGAACAGCTAGTGATGGCTATTTAACAGTCTGATGGCCTGGAGATAGAAGCTGTTTTTCAGTCTTTCGGTCCCAGCGTTGACGTACCTGTACTGACCTCTCCTTCTGGATGATAGTGACCTCTGCAGCCAGAATAACAGCAAAGTTGATTCCGTTGCGTTTGTTAAAGCGTTTTATCCCGCTTATACCACAGTTGCCAAAGAAAACAATACTAAGCACACATTTACCGGTAGAAAGAAAAACATTTTGTTGATGTTTTCATTTATATAAGCAAATTCATACTCTCATATTTCGGTTGCTAGACACACGACCCAGTCGTTTGTTTGATATTTATGGTTACGACCAAGTCGTTTGTTTGATATTTATGGTTACGACCAAGTCGTTTGTTTGATATTTATGGTTATGACCAAGTCGTTTGTTTGATATTTATGGTTACGACCAAGTCGTTTGTTTGATATTTATGGTTACGACCAAGTCGTTTGTTTGATATTTATGGTTACGACCAAGTCGTTTGTTTGATATTTATGGTTACGACCAAGTCGTTTGTTTGATATTTATGGTTACGACCAAGTCGTTTGTTTGATATTTATGGTTACGACCAAGTCGTTTGTTTGATATTTATGGTTACGACCAAGTCGTTTGTTTGATATTTATGGTTACGACCAAGTCGTTTGTTTGATATTTATGGTTACGACCAAGTCGTTTGTTTGATATTTATGGTTACGACCAAGTCGTTTGTTTGATATTTATGGTTACGACCAAGTCGTTTGTTTGATATTTATGGTTACGACCAAGTCGTTTGTTTGATATTTATGGTTACGACCAAGTCGTTTGTTTGATATTTATGGTTACGACCAAGTCGTTTGTTTGATATTTATGGTTACGACCAAGTCGTTTGTTTGATATTTATGGTTACGACCAAGTCGTTTGTTTGATATTTATGGTTACGACCAAGTCGTTCGTTTGATATTTATGGTTACGACCAAGTCGTTTGTTCTTTATGTTCCGTCACCATGCTCGTGGCAACGCTGTTATCCCTTGCTTGCTAGACAGCTACCTATGGCTAACAGTCACGAGCCCTGCAGCCAGAATAACAGCAAAGTAGCTGTTTTCTATTGACATTCATTTGGATAAATCCATAACAATTAGTTGATAATGCCCGATTTTGCCTGTCATAGCCAGAAATGTTTGCCATCTCGTCAGGACACTTGACAATGTTCATTAAGAGGAGATCGCATTGCATATCAAAAAGACTAGGCTAGAAGCTAGCTAAATAGTTTGTTGCTAGCAAACATTCCAATATGACAACCGTATAAAAAAAATACCAGTTGCTGAAAACAGCTGGTCAAACTAGAAACGTGGGAAGATTTGACAGCATAGCGCCACTTGCATCATGACAGTAGGCACCAGAGAAATTAATGTTCATCACTCACCATGCTAGGTCATCAGATGCTCCAAAACGTATGTCTCTGCAAAAACAAATCAATGCTAGCTAGCTAAGTTTTCCTAGTTGGACCTGTGTTTACAATGTATCCAATTTCAGTTTGTGTAGTTGTTGGTTTAGCTTTCTGTAACTTTGTAGCAAGTACAGTCTGCATGTGTAGGCACATATTGCGTCCTGATTGCAAGGTGTCCCGATATCTTTTCCAACTGTCCCGTTATCTGGTTTTAATGTCTATTCTAGAATGCCCTCTAGCCAATCAGAAACGAGTATTCAACAATGCTGTGGTATAATAAGTAATACGCCGTAATGGGAAGTCACTACCATCAACAGTCTTTTAATAATTGTTCTATCCACTTAATGCATAGTGCATTTATTGTTTACACAAATAATCAAAACCAAAATCCGTTTAGAAAAGATAATTGAACCGAAACCGAACAAAAAAAAACACTGATTGCTCAGCACTACAAATACTGTGGGCTGTAAGTCTGTTAAAACAGCGTAGGCCTACAGTAAGTATATATTTGCATTTGTGAACTTATTTTGATGTGATATGAAA